CCCCCCCCCAGGGGAAAGAAGAAAGAGGCTTTTGTCTTTGCCCGCATTTGGGCCAGAAGGGATAAGAGGATGGGCAGTGGCTCAGCAGCGTGGGGAGTGGGCCTGTTTGGAGGGCTACCCCTCCAGCTCCACCCCACCAGACCTGGGAGTTCCCTTTGTGCCCCTGCATGTCAGCCCTTCCTGTCCTGGCCACCTCACCCTGGGAGGAGGGGGCAGCTGTCCACCGGCTCCAGTGCCTCCCCAGGTCTGTCTGCCCCTTCTGGACCCCTCCCAAGGTGTCTTTGAGCCAGGTTCAGGTTCCGTGTAGGCTCAGCCTTCTCCTTGCCCTCCCCTTCCGGTGCCCTTGGCTCCCCCTGCCAACCCCTCTGCAGAGAGAGGGTGGGAGGGGCAGGAGCCCAACAGGACACTCTCCGGGTGCCCACAGGCTCCACCCAGCTGCCCCCCTGCGGTGGCCTCTTCTCCTGTGGTTTGGCTCCCCAGCTGTGCCTGAGCCCTGAGAAGCTCTGTGATGGAATCTCTGACTGTTCCCAGGGCGAGGATGAGCTGGGCTGCAGTATGGACAGGGTTCCCCTGATGAAGGCCAAGGCTGGTGGGGGCTGGGGTGGGGGGGAGTTCTCCTCATCTTACTGTTTTCTCTTCTCTTCCTTTCAGAGGGGATGACAGCCCCAGGAGGCCCCAACGGGACAAGGGTTCCCTGCCCGGAATACTCCTGCCCTGATGGCCTGTGCATAGGTTTCCAGCTGGTGAGAGAGGGAAGGAGGGAGGGAGGAAGGGGGTGACACAGGCAGAGCCATTGTGCCACCTGACTTGAAAGGAACTTTGATCCTGTTCCCTCCCCAGGTGTGTGACGGTCAGCCTGACTGTGAATTGGCAGGGACAGCAGGGCCTTCCCCAGAAGAGCAGGGCTGTGGGGCCTGGAGCCCCTGGGACCCGTGGGGGCCATGCAGCAGGACGTGTGGGCCTGGGGTGCAGGCCCGGAGCCGCCGCTGCTCCCCACCTAGTCTCCCGGTGCTGCAGCACTGCCCAGGCCCTGAGCACCAGACTCAGGCCTGCTTCACGGCCGCCTGTCCCGGTGAGGGGCCTGGGGTACCCAGGAGGGCCAGGAGGCGGGCGGCGGCCCAGAGAGAGCAAGGGAGAGGAAGATCACGGGGCTCTCAGACTGGCCTCATGCCGCCCTCCTCCCACTTGTCCTGCCCCTTCTCCTCACAGTGGATGGTGAATGGACCTCTTGGTCTCCCTGGTCCCCGTGCTCCGAGCCATGCACGGGCACCATGACCCGGCAGCGGCAGTGTCACCCACCCCAGAATGGGGGCCGGACCTGCGCCACGCTGCCCGGGGGCCCTCACGCCACCCACCAGACCAGTGAGTGCGAGGAAGGAGGGCACGGCTGGGAGGTGGCTTGTTTCTGCGGGGGACCGACCCACCGTTCCGAACCGTGGTTCTGATTTTCTCTCAGGGCCCTGCCCTCGGGACGGCTGCCTCAATGCCACCTGCTCCGGGCAGCTGGTGTACTGGCCCTGTGCTCCCTGTCCTCTGACTTGCGATGAAGTCTCTGGTCGGGCTGTGTGCTCGGCTGACCAGCCCTGCAGCAGCCCAGGTAAGGGCGGGGGGCGGGGGGCGGGGAGCGGCTCTGGGCCCAGGTTGTGGCCGGTGTGTCTGTGGAGCTGAGCGCTCTGCAGGGAAGCCTCACCCTGGGCCTTCTCTAGGCTGCTGGTGCCCTGCCGGACAGGTGCTGGGCAGTGAGGGGCAGTGTGTGTGGCCCCGGCAGTGCCCCTGCCTGGTGGATGGCACGCGCTACTGGCCTGGGCAGCGCATCAAAGCCAGCTGCCAGCTGTGCATCTGCCAGGATGGGCGTCCCCAACGCTGTCGGCCCGATCCAGATTGTGCTGGTGAGGCCCCACCCTTGACCCTTCCTGAGGGGTCCTTCTCCCCGCCCCCCCCCGCAGACTACCCAGCTGGGCACCCAGCCCTCCTCTGACCCCTGAGTCTTGGTTCTCCCGCAGTGAACTGTGGCTGGTCATCCTGGTCCCCCTGGGCTGAGTGCCTGGGCCCCTGCGGGAGCCAGAGCATCCAGTGGTCCTTCCGGAGCCCCAACAACCCCCGCCTCTCGGGCCAAGGTCGCCAGTGCCGGGGCATCCACCGCAAGGCCCGCAGGTACTTGCACCCACCCCAGGGACCCGCAGAGACCTTTACCCCTCACCTCCAGCGCCCAGGTAGGAAGCTGCTGGTGTGCCCTTTCTTGAGATACTTTCACAGGTACCATGGACTCCAAAGGAGGAACCTCTCCTACTCTGAGCCCTATTAGTCTAAACACCAGGATTCCCAGCGCCTCTTTGGGGGAATATCTGGCCTTCTTCTGCATCAGTTTTAGGCTCTCAAGGTCCAAAAGAGGGGTATAGGGAGCCCGCAAGTCTAGGGGCAGGTATGGGTCCTCTGGTTTGCACCCTGTGCCTCTGAAGGTCGCTGAAGGGAGGTACTGAGGGGGTGAGCCAGATCTGCCCACCACGCCCCCTCTGAAATGGGCTCCACTGGCTAGGGTCTTGGCACAGATTGCTTCCACACCCCTTTCTTGGGCCAGTTGCAGTTTCTGGGGTGCAGGGCTGGGAGTCAGGAGATAGGGAGACCAAGCAGCGCAGCTGGTCCAGGACTTTTCCCGTTTTTATCACTGAAAGTCCCAAGTCCTGGGAGACTGCTCACTCCGGGCACACCAGGACGGGCTGGTTGCCTAGGCGAGCCCACTCACCCGGCAAGTGGCCAAGTGGCGGCCCTTCTTCCAGGTGCCAGACGGAGCCGTGTGAGGGCTGTGAGCAGCGGGGCCGGGTCCGCAGCGTAGGGGAGCGCTGGCGAGAGGGCCCCTGCGGAGTCTGCCAGTGTCTGCACAACAGCACCGTGCGCTGCTCTCCCTACTGCCCACTGGGCGGCTGCCCCCAGGTGAGGGGGCACAGGGGCCTGGGGGTGGGCAGTGGGAGGGGCAGTGTGTAGAGGCCAGGGCTTCCAGCGGCCCAATAGGCTGGGTTGGAGGTTGGCAGGTGGCCGGCTCAGCGCATCCAGCCTGACTCTTATGTCCACAGGACTGGGTCCTGGTGGAGGGAATGGGAGACTCGTGTTGCCACTGTGCCCTCCCTGGTGGTGAGTGGGTCTGGGGAATGGCAGGGAGGAGGATGGTGAGGACTCAGAAGGAGCCCCAGGTGGCAGCACTGAGCGGGGCTGGGGGTGGGGGGGTGGGGGGATCCGCGGCTACCCCAGCCCCGGCTGGAGGGAGCCTGAGTCCTGGATACTGGGGAAGGAAGGGGCCCTCTGGGTGGAAGGGCTTGTCTCTGTCCTCCTGAGATCAGGTCTCTTCTGTCTCTTTTGGGCTAGAATTCTGCCTCCCCGTCGAGGGTGCTTTCTTTTCTCTGGTTCAGCTGGGTCAGATCTGGTTCCTGGCCTTTCTCCTAAGAGGAACCAAGACAAAGTTCAACTTTTTCAAGAGTATTTTTGCTTGGAAACTGAGTTAAAAACGAAACAGAAAAACACAAAGGCTTGAAAGTGAATGTGTTTATGGGTCTAGATTCCTGCTCCTGAAAGTGCACCTACAGGCTGCTGAGGTTAGAGGAGGGCCAGCACTCACAGTTGTACAGATTGTTCACTGTGCAAGTTGGCAAGTGGGAGCTAGACTCCAGCCCACAGGGGTGCTTCCATCCAGAGATACCCTTTTCTAGTGCTCAGAAAGGTCTTCTATTTCTAAATATTCAGTGGAAGTGAAAACCCCCAGTTCATGCCAAGGGAAGGAGAACAGGTCTTTCCCAGCTGGGAGGTTGTTCTGGGGGCTCCTGGAAAGTCCTGAGGGAGAAAGTGCTGCAAGAGGTGGGGAGAGGCCTGGGTGTGGGGCTTGGGGCTAGTGTGAGCCTATCTGCAGGTCTCTCCCTCTTGAACCTTGAGTCTCCCCACACAGGTGAGAACCAGACGATCCTCACCATGGCCACTCCTGCCCCTTCTCCAGTCCTCAGTCCCCAGATCGGACCCCGTCTGGTCACCTATGTTCTGCCTCCACCTGGAGGTGAGGGCCACATGCGGTTGTAGGTCAGAGAGGAATTACCGCCCAGGGTTTGCCCAGCCTAAGAGAGAGGCAGGAACGCTGCAGTTTACCCCTGCCTTCCATGGGGAGGATGGTTATCCTAAGGATCTGGAAGTCATCCTGGCTTAGGTTGCCTGTTTGACTCTGCCCTCTCTGGACCACCCTTCCAGCCCAGGTCGAGGTCAACCATGGGGCCCTTTGCATCCCTCAGCCCCCCTTGTGACTTCCTGACTATGTCCCTGGCAGGCACCCGCCACCCTCTTCCCTTGCACTCCAGCCCCTCTCTCTTCTGCATCCAGACCCCTGCTATTCTCCGCTGGGCCTGGCGGGACTCCCCAGGGAAAACCTGCAGCTGGAGCTCCCCACCCAGGCTGCCCTCTTGGGGGCTCCCACCAGGGGGCCTGGCTATCGGGGCGGGAGCACGATCCAGAACACTCGCAATCAGCGGCACACTCTGCCCCCCTACCTGCAGCTGGACCTGCTGCTGCCCAGGAACCTCACTGGTCAGTGCGGTGGGGGCGGGGCAGGAGGGAATGGCGGTGATGGGGGGCGGGGCTGGGGGACGGGGCGGGG